GATCTCAGGCAAGTTACTTCACCTCTCTGAGCCTCAGCATCCTCATCTCCAATGTAAAGATGATAATGATTATTCCTTAGACTTCCAGCGAGTATTAAGTGAAATAGAGTATATAAAATGTCTGGCACATATTGGTGCATAGGTAATGGCAAAAACACTCATCCACCCTTCATTAATTTCATAAACATTTCAAGATCTTTCCAGAAAGCTGGAAGTCTCCTGCTCCTCATCCCACCCCCATCCCATCCAGATCAGGTCACTATCAGCTCTCGCCTGGACCACTGCAACCTCCTGCTACCTAATCTCTCTATGACACTCTTACTCTATTTTAATCCCTCCTGCCCAAAGGATACCTGAAAAAATCTGATTATCGGGCTTCCCTGGTGGCACAGTCATTAAGAATCCGCCTGCCAATGCAGGGGACACAGGTTCAAGCCCTGGTCCGGGAAGATCCCACACGCCAAGGAGCAACTAAGCCCGTGCACCACAACTACTGAGCCCCCGTGCCACAGCTACTGAGCCCCTGCACCTAGAGCCCGTGCTCTGCAACAAGAGAAGCCACTGCAACGAGAAGCCCGTGCACCTCGATGAAGAGTAGCCCCCGCTCGCCGCAACTGGAGAAAGCCTGCGCGCAGCAACGAAGACCCAACGCAGCTAAAAATAAGTTAATTAATTAATTTTTAAAAATCTGATATCGCTCACTCAACACTCTTCTGTAGTTTCTCATTGCCCTTAGGATAAATTATACACTCCTTGCCACAGCCCACTGAGGCCCTGCAGTCTTGTCCTTAGCACATGCTGCTCCCTTTGCCTGGAATAAGCTTCCCTCCCTTCCTCTCTCCTCCATTTCTGGCAGTCATCCTCTTCACCTTGCTATCCTTTAATCAGGGCTTAACTAAAATACCACCTCCTCCAGGAAGCTTCCCATGATTCCCTGCCTCCAGATGAATTTAGGCAACACTGCTGAGTGTTTCTATAGCATCCCACATATTCCCAGGCAGTTTGGATAGCAGTTGCTTGTTTAATTGTCCAGGTTTCTACCATATGCTGTAACTACATAAGGTCAGAAGACTTTTCACGCTCATCACTGTATCTTGTGATAATAAGTCATCAATTAATATGGGCTTATAGAATGGATGGAGGATGGATAAGTGGATGGATAAATAGATGGGAAAAAAATGATACCTCCCCTCTGTAGAGTCTTCCTACAGTCCTCTGGGAAGGGAGTTTTCCGTCTGTGCTTCATAATACCTAGTGCAAACCTCTACCCAAGCCTTAGTTTCCTCAGCTATAAAATGGGGGAAATAATAGTATCTACCTGGTGGGGTTATTGAAATGAAATTATGTAAGCCATGTAATAGTTTTAAATCAATGATAATAGGTTGTTACATTTAAATGAGGTAATCCATGCAAAATGCTTAGAGCAAGTTCTTGTACTACTAAGCACTCAAAATATATTCATAATTATCATAGCACTTATCATTTCTTCCTGCCTGTGTCCCCTGCCAAAGAGTGAGCTCCTTAGAGGTACTGCTTAGGTCTTGATCATTTTTGGACACACCACCTCTACGGCCTCACAGTGCCCAGCTCGGTGCTTTCAGTAAATGTTTACTGAGTGAACAAGTGAACAAATGAACACAGATTTGCCAGCCGATGAGTCAGGGCACTGCACTCTTTTTCATCACTCACAAACCCAGACACACACTAATGCAAACAGTCTCTTACAATTCACACCCACTCACATTCATTCAAAGAACCTCAAAATACCACAGAACAGCCACCCAGCTTCCTAAAGTCATCCATGCATCAAAGAAGAGACTCACCCACTTTCTTACACCCACCATACAGCACCTCAATGCCCAGTACCCCCTCCTCACCTCTGGAATGATGGGGGCTGTAGGAGGGAGGGAGCTCTCACTCACAGTAAGGAAGGCAAAGCTGGACCTTCAGCCCCCAGCACTGGCAGTACCACAGCTACAGATAGCACTGCCCTCCCTCCCTTCCCTGGGCTCACCTCTTTCCTTTTCTGAAAACCTGGGTCCCTGGGCTTGGCAGGTGGTTGAGGAAGAGGCCTGGGAGCCAGAACTCCTGGGTTCCTTTCTCATTCATCTAGTCTTGTCTCTGAACCCGGAACCATAGGCCATTGTCCTCCTCTCCTAGCGCCAAGCACAGCAATTTGTAGGAAAAAAGGCAGGATGAGGAGATCCCATGCCCCGGGGTGGTGGAAGGGTCTTGCTGTGAAATAATTATATTAGCCATCCTTTACTTGGCGCCTAATAAGGGTCAGATACTGAGGCCAGCGCTTTGCTACCTTCATTATTACTCATTTAATCCTTCTAACAACCCCTTTTCCAGAGGAGAACACCTGAGACGCTGCTGGTTAGTCTGTAGCCTAAAATCACCACCTGGGACTGGCATGCAGGTCTCTAACCCCGGAATCATCAGCGGCCAGGCTTTAGAGAACTCGGGGTGGATGGGGTAGGAGGGCTGGAGGTCCTCAGGTATTAAGCTGGGGAGACGCGCCCCCGTCCCAGACAGTACCCGCCCCCCAATCAGCCAGGCCCTCTTGTCCGGGGGAAGAGGGGCTCGGAGCGCCGCGGCGGAGGACCCTTTCCCGCGGGGACCTGGGCGGGGCTGGGGCGGGGCCGGCGAGCCTGGGGGAGGCGCGGAGCCGGTGGCCCAGGCTCACAGGCCAAGATGGCTGTTAATTAAAGTGCTGGCACCGGCTCCTCTCTGCAAAGTTTGAAGCCGTTATTTTCCACTCCAGCGAAGCGGGGAGAATCCGGCTGGTCTGACAGCGACGCCACACCGCGCTAGGGGAGCGGGCGCTCTTTCGGGTCGGGGAGCGGGCCGCCTTGCAGCGCCGAGCGCGCCCCTGGACGCCCCGGCGAGCGCCGGGGGTGCGTGCTCCCGCCCCTCCGCGGCCTCGGGCGACCAGCCGCAGTTTCCCCGGCGGATTCGGGAAGGACTCCGGGTGACAGACGAGCCCCAGCGGCACAGCAGAGGAGAGAGCCGTGTGCGCGCGAACTAGGGGGCGCGGCATTGTACAAATCATACGCCGACGACCGCGCACTTGTCCCTCGGGTCACCAGCCCTGTCGCTCTTGGGGGAGTCATACTGGGGAGACCGCCGTGGGGGACGGGAGGCCGGACTGACAGCCGAGAGTCGGGACTACTCTTCCCGAGCCTGGGGCGGGGGGGTCTAGCTGTCCTCCTCCGCCTGCACTTAACGCCTTCCTCCCTCTAGGAAGTAAACGGTACCTAGAGATCCAACTGGGTGGCGGTTAGAAGAGCTTGGAGCCAGGCTGGCCGTTTGCATCCCGGCTCTATCGCTTATTAGTTGTGTGGCTTTGGGCAAATCTCTTAACTTCCCAGAGCCTCAGTTCTCCCGCTGTAAAATGAAAGTAATGATGGGCTTTACCTCCTTGGATTGCTGTGGAGATCTGGTGTGATGGCCTCTGTAAAGCAGTCAACACAGGGCCTGGCACACAGAAAACCCTGAATAAATGCTATTGATTGAATTTTTAGCTCCTTCCTTGGCGAGGGGATCACTCTAACACGGGCTCGGCGGTGCTTGAAAGGTCCTCTCTCACAGCCTCCACACCCCGCCCCCGACATCCTCCTGTTCTTGTCCTCCTCCCAGCTCAGGTGGGGTTAATCAATCTCAGCTTTGGGAGGGGTCCTCTCAGGAGAAAGGAGAAAGGCTGGAGGGTCATTCTTTAGCAGCAGCTCGTGGCCTCTGCATGGCAGAGCCCTCCCGGGTAGGCTGGATAAAGGAGGGTGAGAAGGAGCAGCGGAGCAGCACAAACTGGGCCTCAAATAACGTGACAAATATTTTGATGGAAGCAGACGCCTTCTCGTTTATGCAGCCTAAACACTTTACTGCACTTGAGGAAGAGGAGTGCCTTATACAGCCTGATGGGGAAAAGAGTTAGGAGCTCAGGAGGCTCGAGCTTGGGTAGGAGCGGAGAGCTGAGGGACTGGGAGAGATCAACCCCTCCTCTTGGAGCCTGGGAGAGGGGGTCACCACCCAGGGATGTGTTTGTACTGTCAGAATGGAGAAATTACCTGGGGTGCCCACTTTCTTAGGGCCCCGATTTCTGCCTTGCCTAAAAGCAGGGAGAAGGGAAGTGACCAGAGTAAGATGGAGGGGCCCCCGGCCCCACGCCCATCCCGAGGAAAAAGCAGCCTGACCTGGCCTGGAGCGCAGGCAGGAAGGAGCAGAGGTAAGGAGGTGTGGGTAGAAGATCCTGCTCCTCCTGGGGAAAGGCGGTCCCGGGAACATCCAGGAGCCAAAAAGAGAGGAGGGAGCGGCAGATGTTAGCACTCGGGATTCTGCTGGGCACCCTGACAGGCATCCCACCACCACCCGCATCTCCCGGACAGGTTGTCTGCGAGGCCTGAGGGCGGATTGGCCCCCTCCCCATCCTCCTGCCTTCCCCTCTTCCCCCTCATAACCCTCTTCCTTGTCCTTCCTTCTTGCTCCCCGCTCCTTCCTCCTCTCAATCGCTCTTTGTCCCCTGAAGACCGGGGTGCCCTACCCCAGCCTCCAGCCCCTGCGGGCCGTGGCCCCTCGTGCCTCCCTCTGTCTCTCTCGGCTTTCCTCGTAAGCGACCCTCGAGTCCTCTCCCTCCCAATCCCCCTCGGCGCTTTCTAGCTCTCCCTATGACCCTCTCTTCCATTCGCTTTTTCGTCCCTAGTCTTCCCTTCTCTATGCGAGCCTCTCCTATGTCTGAGACTCTAGCATCCTCTCCATTTCCGAGGCCCTGTCTCCCTCAGTCAGTCTCCCCTTTCCTCTCCCGGCTCCAGCCCTCTATTCCGCGGCCCCGCCCCACGGCCCCGCCCCTCTTGGTGGGCGGAGCCCTACCGTCCGCGGCCCAATTAGGCGCCGGCCCAGCCCTCAGCCCCACCCCTCCCGGGCGCAAAGCTGCGCTGAGCGGGTGGGGCTGGATAGGGCGGAGGGGGCGGTGGCTCGAGCGCGGGGAGGCAGGAGGAATCAGGCAGGAGGCGGCGGCCGCCGCGCTCAGTTCTGCCGCGCCGCGGGAGGGAAGCGCGAGGTGGGAGCCGGCGGCTGGGCTCGGCAGCGCATCCAGCGCAGCGCGGCGCCCCGGGCCCGGCCCCATGCCCTCAGCCCCGCCGGACCGCCGTTGAGCACGGGCGCCTTGCCCGCGCCCCCCGCCCGCCGGCACCATTGCCCCGACGGCGCGGCCTGGCGGCCCGGCGCTCCCCAGGCTCCGCGCCGGCCGGAAGACGCTCCTGGCAGCCGCCGCGGGCGTGGTGATGCTGCTGGTGCTGGTGGTGCTCATCCCCGTGCTGGTGAGCTCGGGCGGCCCGGATGGCCACTACGAGATGCTGGGCACCTGCCGCATGGTGTGCGACCCCTACCCCGCGCGGGGCCCCGGCGCCGGCGCGCGGCCCGACGGCGGCGACGCCCTGAGCGAGCAGAGCGGCGCGCCCCCGCCCTCCACGCTGGTGCAGGGCCCCCAGGGGAAGCCGGGACGCACAGGCAAGCCGGGCCCTCCCGGGCCCCCGGGGGACCCGGGTCCTCCGGGTCCTGTGGGGCCACCCGGGGAGAAGGGTGAGCCGGGCAAGACCGGCCCTCCCGGGCTGCCGGGCGCGGGGGGCAGCGGCGCCATCAGCACGGCCACCTATACCACGGTGCCGCGCGTGGCCTTCTACGCCGGCCTCAAGAACCCTCACGAGGGTTACGAGGTGCTCAAGTTCGACGACGTGGTCACCAACCTAGGCAACAACTACGACGCGACCAGCGGCAAGTTTACATGCAACATTCCCGGCACCTACTTTTTCACCTACCACGTCCTCATGCGCGGAGGCGACGGCACCAGTATGTGGGCGGACCTCTGCAAGAACGGCCAGGTGGGCCCGGCGGGGGCATGGGGCTGGCCTGGGGGCAGGGTATCCAGGGAGCCCGGGGCCTAAGGGTACGGAAGGGCGCAGATGGAGCCCCTGGAGCGGCTTAGGCATTACAGGCGGGGATGGTCCAGGCTGGCTGGCACCCCTAACTCCTCGGTTCCTGGGCGCCAGCTCCAAGGCAAATGCCGCTGGGCACCTGCGGTATGGAAATGAGGGAGATAAATCCAACTAATAATCAGAGAGCAGGGCTCCCGGGCGCGCGGACTGGCCCTTGGGGGCTTGGCCCTTGGGAAACAGCATCTGAGAGCTGGGATTCTGGTTGATACCAGCTGGTGATGAGGGGACGGATCAGGATGGGCTCTGGGGAAAGGCAGCATCGGCGCCCACGGGCGCCTGGGCGCACCGCTAGGCGCGCAAGCAGAGAAGGCGAGCTATAGATGTTTTGCGCACAAAGGCAAAGGGAGCCGCGCGCATAAAGCCTTAGCTGCAATACATCCCCCGCCCTAAGGAAGGGACCACTGGGCAGATCTGACACCCTTTGCAAAAGCTGGGACTGCGCGGCCCCTTCCCACTGTGTCAGAGCTAACCGCACAAAAAGACTGCCTGGGGGGGAAAGTTTTTCCTCCTGAGGCAGGGCAAAGAGGTGGAAACTCCCCTCCTCTTTGCCTCCCAGCTGCAACTCCTGATTCCTGGGGTGTCGGGGGATCCTCTTCCTTCCCTATCCCCATCGGAGAGACCAGAGTGGCAGGCACCAAGCTCATGAGGTCTTTGGTACCTGGGACTGGCAATGCCTCCTACTCTCCTTGGAACCGCTGCTCTGGGACCAATCTTGACCTAACCCTGCCCCAGGGTGACAGTTTTACGCAGCTCCCTTCACTTTGATTCCCCCTCCCTTCTCAGTGCTCCCAGACCACGGTGGCCTGGGGCCCCTGGGGTAGTCAAGCAGAGCATCCTTGTGGAAGAAGGTGTCTGTGCCAATCAGAACTAAAGCTAGGCTGATGGGAGTTGGGAAGGAATCTCCTGCGACTGAGACCCAAGATCCTGCTGGAACCCCTCCCACTGCAGCACTACCCTGAGGCAGACCCTGGCTTGCGGGGTGGGGGAAAGGACAGGCCTGAGAGTCAGCAAAAAGCCTACCAGGTGCTTGTAAGTCTGCCCCCTGCCCTCTCTGCCCTCTCTCCCATGCCTGCTGTGTCTGATTTCTGCCTCTCCCCTGCCTCTTTCTCCTATCTCTCCATCTCTTGTGCTGGCCTCTCTCCTGTGTCTACCAGTCCTATCTGTCTCTCCCTGGGTTTCTGGTCCCTCACCCCTGGGTTTAACCCCCCCCCCCCCTTTATTTCTTTGGTGTCTCTCCCACTTGTGTCTATCAGGCTTCCTGTGTCTCTCCTCTTTGTCCTTGGTTCTTGACCAAATGGGAGGCCCTAGTATCCAGTTAGGGCCATCTCTGCAGACAGTCCCACATTTCCCCTTATGAATCGCCGGTAAGGGATGCAACAATGTCACCTTCATTGATGGAATTTCTTCCTTTCCTAAAGAAAGTTTGGGCTGGCATGAAGTTGAGGTTTCAGGGGGCTGGGGGCCCAGCTTGCCTGAATAGGGAGATGGTCACCAGGCCGCCAGTGGGCCCTAGACCCTATGCTACTTCAGGAGGGTGCCACAGGGCCCCAGAGATGAGACAAGAGGAGGCCCCAAAGATGGTGTGTGCTTGGGGCAAGGACACTTGCTGCAGTCTCAGGGAGGTGAAACTGACCCCAAAGCCTCTTTTTACCCCCCGGGACAGGACATCGACAGAGCCTGACAAGGAGGTGGCACCGCAGGCTGGTAGAAGAAATGAGGTGGCTTTAACCAGGGGTTTCAGAGACCCAGCATTTTAAGTTACTCAGACCATTTCCTCCATACACATAAAAAAATCCAAGCAGTGGGGTGATAGGCTCTGGTCCTCCCCTACATCCTTTGTGACTTCTTCCAGATTGTCCAAGAGATTCCTTTAATCTCACTGGTCATTCTTTATATTAGTCTTGAGCCCCTACTAGGAGCCAGGTTTGGGGTTCCAGAGGTTCAGTCTGCTTGCCCTCCAGAACTTTGTGGTCTGTGCAGGGGAGACAGTAGTAAACACACAATAACACAGCCCAGCGATTATTGAGTGGGAGAAGGATAGGGAGACCACTGGCACTCCTGTCCCCAGATGTGTCGGCTGGAGGGAGTGATTCAGTGGGACCTGCCCCAGCTCAGACCAACCTGCTCTGGGGAGAGGAAGGTGAACCTGGGTCCCCAAGGTGAGGAGACACAACTAGGGAGAAAATGAAAAGGTCAAGTGTAGGGAAAGGCTGGCTCAGAGGTGGATATTCAAGTGAGCGGAGAAAAAAATGATGGGGCTGGGCAGTGGGTGGGACCAGAAAAGAGGAGCTTGCTCCTCCCACGCCTTCAAGTCCAGGGGTGACCCTGGGCTCTGTGCTTTTCCTTCCTGGCTTCCTGCCTTGCAGAGAGGCTTCCAGAATTTCCTCCAGAAGGTAGAGCTGCATTGGGGCCCTGGCCCTTCCCTGGCAACATGGGGAGATGGGGCGTCACCACCCTCCTGCCTGGTGCTGAGACCCCCTCTCTGTCCTTGTGTGAGGCCCACCAGCCCCTCTATCTAGGGGTAGCTTTGAGTCACCACTGCACAGCCTGATGGCACTAAGCCTGAGTCATCAGGACATGGGCACCGGAGGAGCCTGAGGAAGGGTCTCTAGGTTGGGGCTGGTGCCCTGGGTGAGGTGAGCCCCCCGCAGCTCCCTCTAAGACCCACAGTTCAGGGACTTCCCTGGCTGTCCAGTGGTTAAGACTTCATGCTTCCAGTGCAGAGGGCATGGGTTCGATCCCTGGTCCCTGGTCGGGGAACTGAGATCCCACGTGCCGGGCGAGGACGCGAAATTGATAAACAGGGCTAGAGAAGAGGGGGCTGTGTGGGGACAGGCCAGGGCCTATGGGAAGGCAAGTATTACAGATGGGCAGGGGCTTGGACACCAGAGTTTGAGTGAGGTGAGAAGTGATGGGGTGTGTAAATTGGGGACCATGGTATAAAGACCTAACTGGAGATCAGCCTCTCTGATGGGAGGAGAGGGGCCCCCTGCTGTCCTCTCTGGCCTCTAATGCCTTTCACAGCACAGCACGAGTGCCTGGCATAGTAGGGACCCAGCAATGGTGTGAAAGCACAAGCCCCCTGTGGACCAGGCTGGCTGCCTGTGGGAGTCACACCTGCACATCCCAAACCCCAGCATTGCTCTGGGGGTAGGGGCACATTTCCTGGGTTCTCTGCCCCACCCCACCCCCACTCCAGGCCCCTAATCGGACCACTGCCTCAGTTTCCTTTATTGGCAGCCCTTGAAGAGGTGCTTCTATAGCACCCCCTCCTGAAAAGCCCCAGACTTGCTTTCCTGCTTCCAGGACAACATCAAATCCCCAAACTTCTCCTCTGCCCCCAGGAGGAGCTGGATGCCTCAACTGTTCCCAGTCTTGTGCAGAGAATCAGGACCCCTGGGTGCCATTCCTGGATCCCCCACTGTCTAAGGATGGAAGAGCATTAATTCTCCCTGCCTCCGTGGACAGTCAGGATAATCACAGCAACAATCATGGTGATGAATAAATAATAAACATAAGCGTAACAGTGATGCTTGTCACATCACCAGGAGATTCCTGATGACAGATGACGGTATTCTAATGGATTTGGCTATTAAGAAGCACACTGTTTTAATGAGTTAAGGCTAAATTAATCTGGGTAATAAAAATAATTGTTATTAATAGTAATTTATTAGCAAAGATAATGAAATGCATGTGTAATAATAAATACTACCAGGATTAGGGCCCAGGGAACAACACAGGAGTTGGCTGCTTGCTTTTTCAGCTCTTTCCTAGTAGCTCAAAGCCCATCAAGATTAAAAATTTTTTCCTTCACTGTCAAAAAGCTTCTACACTGGTGGCAGTGGTGAGGCAGGATCTTCTCATCCATTTTCTAAATGGAGAAACTGAGCTCCTTGGCAGACGGCATCGCTCCCTCATTTGATTTTCCACCACCTTTAGCTGGACCAGGAGTTTTCCCAACTGAGTGCCCCAAACAATTCCCTCCCGGGTTGGGGAAGAAGAGCTTGAGGGGCGAGAAGGGACTGAAAGGATCTGGGCTTTAACTGGCAGGCTGCGTGCAAATATGTCAGGTCCTCCTGGTGCAGCATTGCTGCTGAGTCAGCAGCTTCGGCACAGCTGATCTACAATTCTGCCTTCTGTCCAGGAGGGAGGATGGGCCCCGCCCCTAATTTGGCTTGGTCCAGCCCTGACTGTCAGCCCTTGGGGGAGTTGCCTTCGGGGAAGGGGCAGGATGGAGAGGGGCTGTTGAGGAGCCTGGCTGAGAGAACCCCATTCAATGCAGCCTCCCCCCAACACAAGCCGGAACTTGAAGATAGTTCCTCTCTTCCCATTCTCCACCCAGAATATCCCGGAGAGGCCCCAGGTCAGATGGCTCAGGACTTGCGCTGGCCTCAGCGGTCGGAAAGGAATGCCTGGAGGGAATTCGTCCACCACCCCACATCCTCAATATCTTATGATTATAGTCTGAGCCCCCCAAATGATGTGTCAGGCTTCAAATCCAAAGGCTGGCGCTCCCCTGCCCCATCGTCCTGCCTGTCCCACCCCTCCTCCATCCAAACAAGGAGCAGCAAAGATATCAGATCAGACTGAGGATCACAGAGGGATATAAGGCTTGGCTCCCTTCTTCCCATCCACTTCCTTTCTACCACCGTGGGGTGATACAGGAGGAGCCGGAAGTGCTCTTTGGGTGGGGGAATAGTCACAGGTATAGCTACAGCTCCTTGGAGGCGGGATGCAGGCCCAGCCTGAGCCTTGGGAGGGGAAGTAGTGACCAGGCCTTCCATCTCACTGCTCTGGTGTGAAAGACTCCAGAACGGACTTCAGACAAGGCGTCCACAGAGCAGGCCCTGGTACTACTGTGGTTGCTTTCTAGTAGCCTCCAGGCCCGAACCTATAAGGCCAAGGGGCGCCCTCCTGTCCATCCACTGACATAAGAAAAGGTGGATGTGGCTGAGATGTAAGGCATCATTATCACAATAAGGCAGAGAGGAACCAATGGTGAGAGAGGGGATGGCCCTCCATCCCTTAGGGGTCCAGAGAATTCCTCTCTGCAAGGAGGGAGTTCCAGGCTGAGGCATCCCGGAAACATTGTTGAAGTCAGACAGTGAGACCCAGGGGAGTTAAGGAGGCCGATTACACCTTGACGGCCAATTCAGACCCAGATTACACCTGCCCTAGAGATCCAAGGCTCCTCTGTAACCCTTTCCCAAAACACACAGTTATGACTGGACAGGGCAGTGGTAGGATGATGGGAGAAAAGCAGGCTGAGAGCCCTGATGGGGCTGGAGGTGGGGCTTTGGGGGCTTCCAGAGGTAGCTGCCTTACCTCTGACGGTCCCCCTCCCTCCCCGACCCCACCTCTCTCCCTCCTCCTCCCCTACCTTCTCACACACACCCCTCTTCTCCTACCCCCACCAACCCCGCAGGTGCGGGCCAGTGCCATTGCCCAGGACGCAGACCAGAACTACGACTACGCCAGCAACAGCGTGATCCTGCACCTGGACGCGGGCGACGAGGTCTTCATCAAGCTCGACGGAGGCAAAGCGCACGGCGGCAACAGCAACAAATACAGCACATTCTCCGGCTTCATCATCTACTCCGATTGAGCTCCTCGCGACCCCTCCATCCCCTATCCCCCCGGAGGTCCCCTCCCGGCGGGGCAGAGGATGACCCGTCCCCCTACCCACACCCCCTCGCTGCCCGCCACGGCCGCCGGCTTCTCCCGGCTATGACGCCCCCGGCCTGCCCTCACCACCGTCCGGGCCGCAGCAAGCCCTCCCGCCGTCTCGCCACAGAGCCGGGTCCAGCGCGCCCCGTCCCGGTTCCCCGGGAGGCGGTGTCGACCGCCCCCGCCCCGGCCCGCACTGTATATTTGTACAATAGGATTGTTTTTGCCCACCTGACCCACCAGCCCGCCCCAGCTGGGGGAGAGGTCTCGGCGGGGTCGCTCCCCGTGCTCGGATGTGCTGCCCACCCGCTCTGGGGTGGCGCTGCCTGGGGGAGCGGTGTATTGGGGGCTGGATGGCTTCCCAGCTACAGCCCTGGCCGGCTGAGCCCCGTCTGACCAAAGCTATAATAAAACACTTCCACCCCGCTGGCTTTCCGACTGTGCCGTGGAGAGGAGTTGCAGGAGGGGACCATGAACCCTGCCCTCCTCCAGGCTGGGAATGAGTCTGCTGAAAGCTTCTCACGGATCCGTGGGGAGCCAGGCTCCAGAGCCAGAGCTGGTCCCGGAGGAGGTGGGCCGAGGGACCCAATGCCCACCACAGCCCAAGTGGGCCTGGGCAGCTGGAGTAGGAAGCAGTTCAGTTACATCATCATTTTCCAGGGTGGAAAAGCTCCATCTTTTCGACCTTGAAAGTGGCATCAGCATTCCAAAGGCACAGCAAGTTTTAAATTGGGAAACCCAGGTTCCAGTCCCAGTGCCACGGTGTAGAATCCTGGCCGTGTCACTCTTTTCTGACTCAGTTCTGGGTTAGTGACAGCAGCGAAAGGAACAAGCTTTGCATTAAATGCTGGTTGACCCTGACCCAAGCACTTCACCCCTGGGCCTCAGTTTTCTCATTATAATGTGTAGGTGAGGAGACCTAACCTACCTCACTTGACTGAGAATTAAAGAGGTATCATGTATATGCTCAATAAACACAACTTTTATTATTTATGCATCACTTTAAAGTTTGTCAAAGGCTTTCACGTATGTCGTTTCACTTGAGTCTTCCAAGAGCCCTGGGAGGTTGGATGAGTAGATTTTATTCTTTTTCCAAAGAGGTTAAAGAGCTTTTAAAATAGGACACAGGGACTTCCCTGGTGATGCAGTGGTTAAGGATCCACCTGCCAATGCAGGGGACACGGGTTTGAGCCCTGGTCCAGGAAGATCCCACATGCCGCGGAGCGACAAAGCCTGCGTGCCACAACTACAGAGCCTGCGCTCTAGAGCCCGCGAACCACAGCTACTGAGCCCACGCAGCTAGAGCCCATGCTCCGCAATAGGGGAAGCCACCGCAATGAGAAGCCCACGCACCCCAACGAAGAGTAGCCCCCGCTCGCTTCAACTAGAGAAAGCCCACACACAGCAACGAAGACCCAACACAGCCAAAAGTAAATAAAATAAAATAAATAAATTTATTTAAAAAAAAAATATAGGACACAGTCCCCAAGTTCTGTGATTGCACGTGAATCCAAGAAGCCCTTGACTCCCTGGAGACACACTAAATCTCCTTGCCTTGTCACTGCCTCCCTCACCTCCTATTACTGGGACCATGACGGTTGCACAGTTAGGGCATTCCTAAATCATAATAGCTAATATTTAGAGAGCACCCACTCTGTGTCTGACACCATATAGGAACTTCTTAATTTTTTAAATTTATTTTTGGCTGCCTTGGGTCTTCGTTGCTGCACGCAGGCTTTCTCTAGTTGTGACGGGCAGGGCTACTCTTTGTTGCAGTGCACGGGCTTCTCATTGCGGTGGCTTCTCTTGTTGCAGAGCACGGGCTCTAGGCTCACAGGCTTCAGTAGTTGTGGCACGCAGGCTCAGTAGTTGTGGTGCACAGGCTTAGTTGCTCCGCGGCATGTGGGATCTTCCCGGACCAGGTCTCGAACCCATGTCCCCGGCATTGGAAGGTGGATTCTTAACCACTGCGTCACCAGGGAAGCCCCATATAGGAACTTTATAAATATTATCTGATGGAAATGTGTGTGGGGTGGGAGTGGACTGGCAAGAAATGCTCCCATGCCCTTTAACGTGGATGCTGTTGTCTTATCCATTTCAGATGAGGAGACTGAGGCTCAGAGAGGATAAATAATTTGCCACGGTCACAGAGCTAGGAAGAGGCAAATGCCAGTATTTGAGCCAAAGACCATGCTCTTACCCAGCATGCCATATTACATAAAGACCTGGGATCTCCGAAGCAGAACGGAGGAAGGATGGCTTGGGGGCAGCCCAGCGCTTCCACTCCAGCGCTGCCCTGCAGAGCCTTGATGGGATTTACAGGCATCTGCCCTGGGCAGCAGCCATGGGGTGAGCCTCTTGGAGAATCCCAAGGCTCTGCTTGAGGGAAGGGTCCCATCTGGCCTCCCCTCCCCCTGCTGGCTCAGCTGGAGAGACAGGAAGGAGGGGTGGCCTCCCTCCCAGTCAGGCCCCATGTATGGACCCTTGTCAAGGCTGGCGGACTTGAATGACTTTCTTTATCCTGTCTTCTCTCCCCGACATCCCCCTACTGCCAGCTGTGGCCGTTTAATAAAATTAGCTTAATACTTGTTCCTTCCCTGTGGGGTCTGGAGATTGAAATCTGCGGGTTCCCACAAACCCAATAAAACCCCTGGCAGGTCTAGCTGGAACGAGAGTTTCCTTGGGAAGAGTGATTAGATTAGCCAGCACCCCCCCGCCCCCCCACCCAGTGCCACCCACAACCCCCTGTGATTCTTTAATGGCCAACTGGCCCCAAATTACCACCACACCTGGGCGTGCTCCCCAGCCCTCTCCAGAGGCCACAGGGACTGGTCTAGGACCCCTGCTACAGCAAAAAGCACGTTAACCATTTTTGTAGGGAGAGCCAGGCTGGTTGGCCTGCTTTCTTTTCTTTCTGGTGAGTAGCTGTTCCTCATGTCATTCTGAGAGATGGGCCTAAAATCTCCGTGTCGCAGATGAGGAAATCATAGTCTGAAGAAAATCTGTGACTTGTCTATGGTCACGCAGCAAGTTTGTGACACAACTGGGACAGGACTGAAGCCAAGGACCTTTTCTTCCTTTGCAGGGCACCAGGGGTGTCCGGCAGTGCCAGTTGCCAGCTGGTTGTCACTCAAGCGGCATCCCAGCTGGCGGGGAACATGTTGGGGTAGCGTCTCCCCCACGAGACAGGGGCTCCCCAAGGGTGGATCTATTTTTTTCCCCCCTCAGACTTGGGACACCTGAGAGCAAGGACTATGTCTCCATCCTCAGAATGGGAAACTTCCTGAAGGCAAGACCGTGTCCTCCATCAGCCTGGGTGTCCTCAAAGACAGTGTTTTGACTGAGTTGAGGGCAAGGTGTGTATCTCCAGAGACTGGGGATGAGGAGGGGCCGTTTCCTAGTTGCAAAGATTGTGGCCGTCCTCTCAGTGGCTCCAAGGGTAGACAATGTGCTTTTTCTATTAAACTAGGCTTTCCGAGACCAGACCCTGGGACTGGAGGTTCCCTGAAGGACAAACTCTGTCTCCTCATCCAATTGGAGTCTCCTTGAAAGCAGGGCACGTGTCTCGCCTCTTCCTCTGTCAGGGGCGTGTCTGCCACAGAAACATTCCACAGGGCAGGGCTGGCTAGGTGGTGGGAAGGAGGCTGGACAGGCAGAATGGTGAGCCCACTCTGGAGGAAGGAAGGAAGAAGCCTCCCCAGGCTGCCTCCCCTTTAGAAAGATGTGTGATTAATTAACGAATAATGTCCCTGCCAAAGGGGTGTGAGGATGGCAGTGCCCCTGGAGCTCACCCACACGAGGAATGGCAGGCCATCCTGTGCCCAGGCAGCTGCCAGCCCTCAGAGCTGGTGTTGCCCTGGTTTCCGGGGTCAAGGGGAGCAGAGGGGGCAGCAGGAACCCACCGCTGGGGGCTACCCTAATTGGATGACTTTGCAGGAAGGCCAGGCAGGTGCGCTCGGCTCTCCGCTTCAGCTCGCTGCAAACACATCTGCCATGGTGAGGTCTAGGGGTTAATTGCCTCCCGCCTCACTCCTGGTAACCGATATTTCATTTACTGCTCAGAGGGGGAGCTGCCTGGAGAATCAATCCTGGACAAGCATCCAGGGGACAGGGGAGGCGCGGAGGCACGGGAGCTGTGTCCCGGAGGATCTCTGAGCGTCAGAGGAGGAGGCAGGAGGCAAGGACCAATTGCTCAAGGCTATTCTGGGGCTCACCTGCATTCTGCTGACGCTGACAACAGCTCCAGGACCCCAAAGAGCTGGGAGAAAATCCAAGGGGTCCAGAGGCTGCACTACTTCAGCTAGCGGTGCTGTTTCCCCTGCCCTGGTTCCTTCTGCATGTACTTACCTGGGTACCCCTGTAAGCTGTAGCAGGTTAGATGCGGTTAATAAGGTTATTTTCACAAGCGATGAAGGCATATTTGAAAAGCGGAACTGGAGGTGTGAGCTCCTCACTTCCTTCCAGGTAATAAACCTTAAAATCCTACAAATGGGGTTTCCCTGGTGGCGCAGTGGTTGAGAGTCCGCCTGCCGATGCAGGGGACACGGGTTCGTGACTCGGTCTGGGAAGATCCCACATGCCGCGGAGCAGCTGGGCCCGTGGGCCGTGGCCGCTGGGCCTGCGCATCCGGAGCCTGTGCTCCGCAACGGGAGAGGCCACAACAGTGAGAAGCCCGCGTACCGCAAAAAAAAAAAAAAAATCCTACAAATGAAGTGATAATAAAGTGGAAGTGAAAAGTCTGTAAATGTTTGGGACTGGGTGGGGGTGGAAGGGTTACTGAGAGAGGGCAGCTGGGGCCTGGAGAGAAAAGGGACCAGAGGGCTCCCTGCCACCGTGCTTTCCACATGCTACCCATTTGCCCCATCTGCCAAAATTGAGAATCAAAGCCACAGAATGGGCAACTCTCAGTACACAGCTGGAAAAACTGAGACCCAGAGATGAACCCAAGGTTGCTCGGGCTGGTTCAGGGCAGAGCTAGAACCTGAGACAGCAGGACCCAGCAGACATGCAGCAGTTGGAGTCAGAAGAATTGGGCTCAAGTTCTGGCCCAGTTCAGTGTTTTAGGAAACGAAATTTCACCTCTCTGAGCCTCGGTTTCTCCATCTATAAAATGGGCCTAATAAAAATATCTACTTGAAGGGCCATTACGAGGCAGTGGGTAAGAAATTATTAATATTTTGTAAGTTGTAAAGCAAAATGCAGATGCAAGTCTCCCAAGCCCTGTGATTTAAAATTCTTTTGAGGACTTCCCTGGTGGTCTAGTGGTTAAGAATCTGCCTTCCAATGCAGGGGACATGGGTTCGATCCCTGGTGGGGGAACTAAGATCCCACATGCCTCAGGGCAACTAAGCCCATGCGCTCTAGAGCCCAGGTGCCACAACTAGAGAGCCTGCGCCCTGCAACTACTGAGCCAGCGGGCCCCAGAGC